TTGACGTCATTAAAGTAACTTTACCTGATAAGCAGCATAGTCGATGCCCGCATAACCGTCGGCACCGCGGATAAAGATATTTGGGAGGAATAGGCATTCGCTGGCGGATAGGATACTGAGACTCATGATTATGATGACAGCTATGACGATATTACGCGTTTCCCAGATCTGAAAAAACCGTATTTTTTTAAATTTTCTCATGGAGACTGAAGGCTTTCATAATCCATGTAATTTTTGCCAAAAAATTGGTGCTAAAAGCGTGCCAATTTGTGCGTTCTATAACGATCAAGTTTAAGGGAAACCAGTTTTAGGTTTATTAAGTTGTAGTAGCTGAAAGTCTAGAAACTAGATGTCATTTTAAAATTGGGGAATTTATGGATAGTTTTTGATACAAATATCAACCCAAAAATATCTGAAGTTTCAGGTTTTTGGATACCCCTAAAATGAGTAACGACGTCGATACTTCGTTTTTGGATACCCTAAAATGAAGTAACGACGTCGATACTATCGGAATTGTTTTTGATTTGGGAAACCGTACCCGATCATGCCACCATGGGGCCCAGACGATGGTGAAGCGATTGAAATACAAGAGGATTAGCCACATATCCTGCGCATGCAACTGGCCGAAGTACCACATGAGCAGCACGCGCATGGGTGGGAATGGTTTTTCGATCCCCACGTAGATGTCCACCAAAAAGGCAAATTCGCGGAATTTGGAAATAAAGTACGTGTTGATGTAGCTGGTGAGGTACTGGAATCAGAGTAGGGTAACTGTATTCTTATTGTGCGAGCCCGAATAAACCCGGACACAGAATTGGCTGAGAATTGGCACACAGAGAGAAACGACCATGCTGATCATCACCTCATTGCCCAAATTTGCCAATGACCTTTAAAACTCGAGATACTTATCTCTTAGTGTCCATTTTTACCCCCGAGAAATGTTTTCAATGATGCCTTTCTTTTTTTGTTTTGGAATTCGAATTTATTTGAAGCGGCCTATCTGAATTTTTTTTCTGATTCGATTGGTGTATTTTATGAAGTCAGGTTTCGTCTAGACGCATGGATTTTCAGCCAATTCTGAGCTCGGGTTTATTCGGGCCCTCCTTGTTAGATCAAATCAATTATTTTGATAGTCTACAGGGTGGCCCGAAAGTAGGTTCACCGAGACTTTTCGGATTTTCGGTGCTTCCAGGTTATCGGGGGTCGGTTATTTTAGCGGGGGTCGGTCGCGAACTTTTTTTCTATAATATCGTGCGGCTTGGCTAATTAAAAGCTGGCCGTTTTTATAGACTAGTGCGCCGTTTGAAATGGTTCTGGACAGTTAGCGGGGGAGGAGACATTAAGAAAAACGTCATAAAACCTGTAGAAAAAATTTTTCTTTTTCGGTCTAACGTAAATGAAAATGGCTAAAACCGCGCTATAACCCGAGATTTCGTGACTATAGGCTAAAAATGTGTATAATTTTTGATTACCGGAAGCTACTAAAAACAGTATTAAAATAAACTACAATTTATCACTAGCCAGGTATAGGCTAAACAAAAAGAAGATGCCAACCGACCCCCAATAACCTGGAAGCACCGGATTTTCTAAAAAACTAGACGTTATATAAAACCACTCGTTTTTTTTTGGGTTGGATTCGTTGCGATGAAACAACTTACCACAATCAGTACAAATACATAGATCTTATAAAATGATCCCCGGATGAGGGTGTGCGTTCGGACGATGGTGATGACCACCAGGATCATGAGGATCAGCGAAGGTATACCGTAGGCAACATAAAAGCAGAAATTCGTTATCATCGCTGGAATGTGCTCAAAGTCTGATGCTGGAATACATTGAGGGGCCGGGAACGGAGTTTCAACCCGTGTTCAGACAGTCGAAAAAGTTATACTTGTTTGTTGCGGATAATTGCCGATTCTAAATTCAAAGGGCCCAAGGGTGTGCGTTGGCGTTGTTTGGGCAGAGCAACCGAAAAAGATCGCTACGGGCAAGGTGGCATTTTCGAGAATCGGAGGTTGAGAGTGGAAATCAGCCACAAAATGAATGACAATTGAGTGTAAATACCTGATTTCGCGGAACGTCTCGCAGCAGGGTACAACCCGAACAAAATGATGAAAAGATGCATCCAAAAAAGATGCATTGTACTTTATAGTGGTTTTGATAGTTCTCAAGATAGATAGATTATTAGCAAATTCAAACGAAAGTTAAATTTTGCAAAATTTTGAAGTGTTTCTAAATCTTAAAAATAAAAAAAGCTCTAAATCTACTAATCTTTACTGTTTTGAAGTCACTCGGCATGTAAAAAAGAATGTGAAATTGAAAATACGCCACCTCAGGAAAACCTATTTGTGTCTGTTTGTTAATGCATCGTTGCATTTGCTTGCTCTTCAATAAAATTTTTAATGCTGTTTCGATGTTAAATTTAAGGTAAGGGGACAAAGATTTAGGTCTAAGCAGTTTTTAAGAAACATGCAAGAAGATGATCAGGTAGAAAAGATGAACGCGTTGTGGTGCGTCGCGTACCCCTCTTTCCGTCCTTCCCTATCGTTCGAATTTTCGAAAACACTGGAGATCCAGCCGCAACCCCGGTGATCGATGCGTTGCGTGCTGGGTCGCGTCGTATGTCGCCTCGCAGCAGCGTCCTGCAGGAATTCGTTGCGCGCTGCGTAGTGAGCGTCGTAGCGTAGCGTAAGGTATCATAAGTATGTTTCTGACGCACGGCTAGGTCCAGATACCAGTCTGCAAAATTTGCAAAAATGCTGCATGATTGCTGATCATCAGAAATCTATCAGATGCCCAAGCCCGCTTGCTTGCGCAAGCCAAGCTCAGGCCTTGCCTTCCTAACATCAACCTTGACTTCCTCACAGCACTGCTTTAATCCTACTGTTGTGTATAATACGAACCACATCATCAATATTTTCCCGGCCAAAAAACCAATACTTTAGCCGATGTTCGACCCCTGTCCACCCAAACAAAGCTTTGGTCAGCTATTTTTCAAGCTTGCGCAGCTTCCCCGCTCGAGTTTCCGCTTATTTCCAAGCGTTTTTCAAGCGTGGTAAGCCGTTTTTAATGGGTCGACCAAGCGGGCGGTGGTCAACACGATCGTCCCCTCCTCTGCTGGCTAATGATCAAATGGACGGAGCGGATTTTCGGTAGAGAGCAAGGAATTTTTTTGGAGATCAGGGCGGGAATAAAAAAAAATAAAGTGGTTTGCTATAAAATGCGTGAGGGTGGGGGTCACTGGATTTTGGGTTTTGCTCGAATCGAAACATTCGGATTTCCGTACTTTTCAAAATTCGAATGAATTTTTGTTATTTTGAAAGCGTAATTGTGATTATTTTGAGACCGCTGCTAAAAGATATCTCAGTTTTTGTTCAGCTCGGACGGATGCCTGATCAAACAATTTACGAATTGGCATATTGGGCATCGCGTATATTTTATGTTTTTTTTTCTGTTTCGATATGGCATAGCGTTAGAGTTTCTGGGGTAAAAACCCCCATAAAACTTTGTTTTCAGATGCTGCGGTACTTGGTCCTGATCTCATGCTCCTTTGCGATTGCCTATTCTGGAGCATGTGACGAGGGTGCAAGTTTGGGCCCGAAGTGCAAGGTATATAATTCTAGTATCGCTAAATTCAGTAGTAACCCCAGTTCAGGGTGGCAGACACTAAAACTTACAACGGTTTTTCAGGCCTTCCTCAACTACCCTTACCCTCCAACTTGACGGCCGTTTTCAAGCCGACCGAAGAGGTGGTGTGCATGGTACGTTCGGAACTTTCTTCACTAAGGTTTTGAAAGATAGATCAATAAAGCGACCTCTAAATTCGCCTTTTGCAGATTAACAACGACTTGGGTACATGTGTGCCGGAAGGAAAGACCTTCGCGCAATGCGCAGCAGGTTTGAAATTTTCAGAATGAATAAGTGTATTTTTTTTTCTTTACGTCATAATTCTCATTGATTATCTCATGCTCAAAGCTGGTAAAAGCTCAAATTTTTAGTACTGGCAAGCAAAAGCGGCGATTACAAGAACAAACTCATCGCCACCCGCGCCGATCTGCTCGGCACGCTCACCACGTTCCAGAATTGCTTGTCAGACCTTGTCGGTTTCTCTCTGCTCCCTTTCTCCATCTCTCTCGCGCTATCTCCCTCTCTCTCTCTTTGTCTCTCTTCACCCGAGCCTTTTCCAGAAGGACGGCGACTACGCGTCCTTCCTGAAACGTACCGTCATAGCCGGGATGAGCGCCATTCTGAAGGCACCTTACAATAAGGCGGTAGGTAGTTAATCGAGGATACATTCCAATTGACTTCTAGATCCTGACTAAGATAAAGCAGATGATCCAAAACGGCAAGTCACTTGCTGAGCGGACCGAAACGGCCTGTGAAACCGGCACCGCCATGACCACCAATCCGCTTATCGTCAAGGTGGTCAAGGTGAGAGTGATAGAGAGAGGGGCCCATAAAAAGTTTTTCAGAAGGTCATGTCGCTGACGTTCAAGCAATCCTGGCAAGAATGTATCGTGCCACTTATGAGGCCGAGTTCGGCAAGTCACCTTCAAAAAAAAATATTTTTCAATTATTTAGGGTGTCCTCCTGATCAGCAAGTATGTCAAGAGCGACAACAAATGCAAGCAGGCCGGACCCTCGGGTAAATAGATACTTCGACATTAGAAGAATCGATAAAAATAATGCATCTAATTTGAGGGTTACAGCGCATCCTCCAAAACTACCTTACAAGCTTGAGATCAGAATTGTGCAGAGCTTATACAGAGAATTCCCGATTGTGCTACTTTCTACCGCACCGCACATTCAAAGTCCTGTTCCAGCCACAGCCGGTGATGATCGTCCTTTCCACATGTTCGATGCGAATTTGTGGCGTTGATCACCTTAGCGGGGCTCCAAAATGATCAAACTAACACCGGGTTTCCGTACTTACAAGATCTAGCAAATTTTTATAATGCAAATCAGCAGTAGCCGAGTCAATTGGATGATAAAAAGGAATTTGCAGCAAAGGCACCAAATAAAAATAGATTTTTGCTACCGTGATACGGTGTGTGTCAAAACGACAGTCCCACCAAGTTCTTTTTGGGCATTATCTCGGGCCTCATCAATTTTGCGAGAAGTCAAAGAGTAGCACTTAAAAAGGCACATTTTTCATGTAGTTGAAATCTCCAAGATAACGCCACTTTTCTAAGGGCGAGAACAAAGTCGGACAACAAAAATAGAATTTTGAAAAATAGGATCAAGTTGACATATTATTAAGATCAAATTCCCGTTTGCAAATGACGTTATTTACCGATACGAAATTCGAAACTATGCAGATTGATTGTATCTTACAAAAGAAGCCGCACAGCGAATGTATCGATATCTTACAAAATATAATTGACCGTATGTTACAAATGTATTGACCTCTCATCCAAAAACGAGCAGAGCAGCTTTCCGCCATGTCGCCAACCGCACGGCATCTCTACGAAACGGAAAAGCCAAACCGTACTTATCTCCCTTTGCAAAAATCTTCTCTACGGGCTCTTCGCGTTTTCCTTTTTTTTCCCTATTCGTACAAGGCGCTCGAAAACCATGTTCCGCTGCTCACATCGCGCATCAGAGTCCGCCGTCCTCGCGAGGACCAACAAAAAATTGGGAGGCGCCACCATCGAAACGTAGGCAGGCTGCCGGCTCATCGCCCAAATCAAGCCAATTTCGTCTCCAAAATTAGATTGGATCATGATGTGCCAATGGTTTTGTGGGTGCTGATCATTGCAACGGTGGTGCCCGCCCAATTAAAAACGGGTAGAGAGGTGTGAGAAAACGGGAAAAATGCTGGTCATTTGCAAGCGAGCCAAGAGGGAACGAACGTGAACTATTTGCGTGGAACGGAAGAGGTTTTTCGGGTGTATAAAAACACGGGCTAACGTGGGCAGAACATGGCACATTTTGGTCGCAACCCTTCAGATCTATTACAGCAACGCGCTTAGTCAAAGCCTGCGCATTCATTTGCGCTATTGTATGCCTCAAACGGACCATGACGACTTCTTGGAATTGCCTAAAAACGGTGACTTGGCTGAAAGCGGCTATGCCTCCAATTGCCTTGATTCGGTCACCCTAGGCGAGAGGGAGAGCGCGAGAGGGGGTTAAGGCAAACGCGTCACCAGGTCCAAAGTTATTTGCATTGCAGTTTCATCGAGTCAGATTAATCCATCACTGCCTACCTGATAAAACGTAAACTTTAACACCTCCTGTTTTTCCCATATTCTTTATTCTCTGCGCATCTGCCCTCTCTGCCTCCGCCTCTTCGTATCCCGCGAGCAACAAACCGGCGACCGACGTAGCCCAGCCAAAAACCGATCCGTTTCGTTGGACGCTAAGCCTTTCATCGGCGGTCGATGTTCGCGAGGTTATCGAACCAAAATGTGATTACTTCGGGTTGTCCCGTTGGTCATCGTGCGCGGGGCAGGGAAGCGCAGCACCCAATTAGCACCCCGATGAACTGTTATGATGGTCTAGGATGGGCAAAAACGGGTCACCTGGAGAAAAAGCCCAAAAACGTAAGCTTGGACTGACGACGTGCCGAGTTTTCGCGTATAAAATGCTAGGCGTAGAGGAGGGGAAGGGCGCAAATATTGAAATGTTGGCTCCTCTGGGGTCATCGAATAAAACCTGGTACTCTCGCCGTGCTACTGGCCTTGATGCCAACCAGGCTTTGCTTCAATGCAATGCTTTGCTGCTGTTGCATTAAGTCGCTACCGTTTACAAGATCGGAGATTTATCACTTACGACGTTTTCGCAGGGGCGCCCCTTTACGCATGTCTCGCTGCATAAATATGGACCATCGTTATATAACGACCCGATGCGTGAACCTACTTTAAATTAATATTTTCTTTTTTTTTTGATCGTGAATTCCACCAATATCCTGCGTACCACCTCACAATCCAGGGTCAACGATGCGCGCCTTCGCCTTGGCCACCTTGCTTTGCCTTCTCCTTGTTCGCCACTCATCTGGCGATGCCTGCAGCGCGGTCACCGGCAACATCAAGGCCTTTGCACAAAAAAGGTTCTGGCGAAGCTGACGCTTCCCAAGTTCTTCACCATCAGCGACAGTGTCGTTTGCCAGGTACGCGCAACTTTTGGCATTTCAAAGTTGCGAAACCTTAAGATCGCCAACGACACCGCTACATGGGCTGGCCAGGGAGTTCCGATGGCGACTATGACGAAAAGTAGGCATCTAACTGCATATAAAAATAGTGCCTGTGTATGGTTGGCATGAGACATGGGTCCTAGACAAGGCCAGCTATAAAAGCCGCGAAGCGGTTTTTCAGCCTTGGTTCACAACGAACTTGTCATTCAACTTTGATTACCGCTCTCTTCCAGACCTAATGGCCAACTCCGGCAATTATGAGTCGACGGTGATCGCAACGAAAATGAGCATGGCCAACTATTTGATGACCTTCATCAGCTGCGCTTCGAACGTCAGTGTCGCAGTGTCGTTGAAGGCGACCAACACTTTTTAGTGCGGCGAAACGTCATGGACGGATTATCTGGAAGGAACAGTCCTCTTCTCTATGGAAAAATACATGACCAAACCGTATAACACATGCGTGCTGAGTGAGCTACGTTCTTTTGATTATAATGCTCTCCTATCACGCGTACAACTACAGGGTGTCCTAATAAAAACACCCCCTGTAACTCGGCGGAGAAGGGTCGCATCGGAACGCTAGTTACGGCATTCGAAAGCCCTTAAAACGACGAGTTTGCAAAAATCTTGAAACTTGAACTTTTGTTTAACTACGCCATTTTATAACGCATTTAAAACATTAAAGAATGTCGTCTGCTTCTCATTAACGGTAACTTCCGGGAATTTTCCTTGGAGAAATTGAGGCAAAATGGCTGGCATGCAGTCCTGAAAAAGAGTAAATCCTTGCAAATGGCTGCTAAAAGAGCTAATTTAAATCAAAACATGGCTCTGAAAATTGATGCAAACTTTAGGATGGTGTAACTATCCTTCCGATCCGATACTTCTGCGTCGAGTTAGAGTGGCACGTTTTTTTATTGCTTTATTGTTTTTTATTGTGACACCTGGACTTTAGACTGCCGAGGTGCCCAAGTACCAAGCCGCTGGGAAGACTGTGCCCGCGTGCGCGGACCTCGTGAGCAAATGCGGGATCGCTTGCGTCACCCCGAAGCTTATCAAGGACACCGTGAAAGTAAGATTTATGAGACCGTTCGCTTAAAATTTTCCATGCCCAGACCCTGACTTTCTGACCATGCAATGGACAATCCAATGGCAGCAACTTTTCAGCTAACGATCCAACGTAGCTGCGCGTGCACTTGGACAAGCTGTGTCAAGCCGCTGATCGCCGACGGAGTGCTGAACATCACCAACTTCCTTCCGGCCAACGGGGCCTCGTTGCTGATGCCAAAGTGCCCATCGAGGTCCGACTAGGCGCAGCCGCTGTATATTACGGTGGGAACAATAAAACTGCTGATAATTACACGAGTTCGTTAACACTAACTGACTGCAACCACTTTTCCTTGTTTACATCTCTGAAAGAAAGTAGTAAAATGCAAGGGTGTCACGATCTGCCGCGCGACCAACGCTGATCATTTCGCGTCCGGACTTAAAGGGAGACCCAAGGTTTTGCTGGCAAATATATAGTTATGTATTCCGGGCAGTACAAATGACATGGGAAATTTGTGCGGCAATGAGGCGCCAGTGCCGCACAGAATTCGGACACCTTTTCCTCTTGTGACGTCCCCATCCCACCCAATGGCTAGCCACTATGGCCTAATGGATACCATCCGGGCCTACAAAACGGGGCTCCCGGGTTCGACCCCCGCCCGCGGAATGGCTTTTGCTTTTTGAACCCCGAAAAGGTTGGGCATCCCTTCAAGACGTGGTCCAAAGCTCCTAGTGCAAAAAGTCATCTTAAACCAAACTAATTAAACTTGCACCACAAAAGTCACGCCGCAAAGTTCGCAAGCACCACAAAGTCTGGGGGATTGCTGTAATTTACTGGTTCTGGTCTTGCAATAGCTCCTTTTGCGTTCCCTTTTAATAATTTGCCATTTTTTTAATAGACTTGGCATTGGCAAGTTGTCAGCAAACCGCTGTATCGTTTTGTGATAGATTCGCACAAAATTTTGGTATTAGTTCCCAGATAAATCCAGAGACTGAATCGGGCAGGCTGTGATTTTAAAAACAAGATTATATAAATGTTCGTGGGATTTCTGAACATATAAAAACCCTCACCCGATATTGTTGTGTCCGAATATGATGTTGATGCGCAGCGGGACCAAGCAGTTCCAACACTGTTTATTAGACGAGCATCATGGCGGCAAGAAGGAATGAGAAGTAGAATTGAACGGGGATTAGAACTAGGGAAAAATGACAATCATAGAGCCCGTGGGGAGAGGGGCCGCACCGCATACGCGACGCGCCCCGTTACGGTGCTAGGGCACTGGATAGGCGAGGGGAACGGGGAGCGAAGGGAAAGGCAGCAACGCAACAGATAAGAATCTCGAATTGATGCTTGACCAGGGTTGAAAAACCGCTTCGCGGTTACGGTTTGCTTTACCCCCGCGCCCCAACCGGAATGTTTTGGCTATAACTTTTTCATTGTACATTATTGTAGGCTTAAAATAAAACTTTTAGTATATTTTTTGACGCTCTATCGAATCGCGTGGATAAAATCTTCAAAAATAGCGATAATATCAAAAACTTTGAGACTCTTCGGCTGTGGGGAGGGGGGGGGCGGGGTAAAGTAAACCCTTACATTTTCGCCGAACAGTCCGTTCCGAGTCCGCAACAGTTTACTCTGATGATCCACGGTTTGGTCGCCGCAATCCCTAATCAAGTTATGGAAGCTTTTTTGCGCCTAATCCCTGAACACCCGGCAAGGTTTGGACAAGTTATCCCCTGATAATTGGTCTTTAAGCTGTTTCGGCAGACCAACGGGCTCGATGGCCCGAGTGCAGTACATAAAAAAGCTATAAAATTCAGAAAAATGCAAGCTTACGCCGGGTGCCTTCGGTATAAAATGGGGCGTCTGGGCTAGAGATCGGTCAGCGGTAAGTTTTGTACTCCTGTCTACTCGGTTTCAGTTTTGATTTTCGAAGCGCTTGTATTTTCGCAGCATTATCAGCCCTTGTAATTGATTTTGAAAAGCACATTGAAAAAGGGGCCGTTAAAGCCTAATTTTAGCAATTATTATTAGACGAAAAATTTTATATAGTTGCTATTTATTTTAATTTTATGACGCACATTTTAGAACCCAGGACATTTAACCAACTATTTCATATTTTTATGAACTGTTGTTACATTAGATATGACATACAGTAGGAAATTCCGTTTTGGTTATCGCTAGACTAGCCCAGATTCTTTCGACATTTGGCCGTGCCCGGAAAGGCTTTTTTGTAGAAAAAAAGAAGTTGAAGAACTACAGTTATTTTCAAATTTTTGCTTCGTCGTGAATTATTTACCATCAATCAACTTTGTCTATGCACTGTTTTAATCCACCTGGTGTTCAAATTTTAGCCCATTGATTGCAGGTAATCCACTGCCCCGAGGATGCGTGCCACCATCATCTTTGCCCTCCTCGTCGTCACCGGCAGCGCGGCGCTGTCCGGCTCGGTGCTGACGCTCACCCAGACGCTGCTCACCAAGCTGACGCTCCCCAAATACTTCAAGGCCAGCGACAAGATCGTTTGCGATGTGAGTTGTAGCTTCGAGAGTCAGGGCCAGGTTTTTAGGTCGCTACCGACATTTCCAACTGGGCCGCCGCGAATCAGAACATGAGCCAGCTGATTGATAGTCAGAATTGAGAAGCGAATCAAAGTCTTTGTATTACAGGTATGAGCGCCAAGGGCAACGACTACAAGTCGACAATCGTCCTGACGAAGGGGGCAGCCATGTCGCAATACTTTCTCGACTTCACCACCTGTCTGAGCAAGGTAAGGGAATGAATGAAAGGGGGTTCTAGAGACAGAGAGGAAGAGAGAGAGAAGATAGTGTGAGAGTGAGAGAGCGAGTGAGAAAGAGAGATAATCAGAGGAGTGTGGAAAAGAGACCGAGCTTGAAGGTGATAGAGAAATAGTGGAACTAGACTTGTCCATAGGTGGAGCAAGCTAAATAATTAAGGGAGAACGAAAAAGAGAAAGAGAAAAAGAAAGAGAGAGAGAGAGCGAGAGAGAGCGAGAGATAAACGGCTTTCCAACGTTGTCCGGATAACTTTGGGAGACCCTCTAGAAAACCGTGAATCCAGGGAGAGTAAGTAAATCCAGAATTTTTCAGTGCAACGACCTCTCCTTCTTCGATTGGTGCAAAGGTACCCTTGGATCGGCATTGTACACCTCTCTGACGGCGCCATACAAGATCTGCGTGGCAAGAGTCAACCATAAAACGAAAATCCGGGCTTTTCCAGTCCGACAAAATGCCGCAAATGATTGCCAACGGCAAGACCGTCGCCCAACGTGCCGAGCAGTGCGCCAGCTGCGGAAATAGCCAGTGCAACGACACGCTCATCGCCAACATCGTCAAGGTAGCGAGTGAGAGAGCGAGAGAGGAGTGAGGGAGAGAGTAAGGGAGAGAGGGCGAGAGAGGAGGAATACCTAAGCCAGACTTTGCATTTAGCTCACCATGCAACGCACCTACGTGAAGACATGGACCACCTGTGTGCGCCCATTGATTACCGCGCAAGTGCTGAACATTGCCAACTACATCCCGACCGCCGGCCCCGAGAAGACCTGCTTGGCCAACTTCCCCTCCAAGGCTTACGGCCAGGCCTAAGCGTCGCCATTAACAACACCGTTAGATTCCGTATCGTTTATGGGCGAATAAAGCAGTGCAAGGAAACCAAGGTTGTGGACACGAAATATTATGCAAAACAACAGAAATCAGGTAATGGAAAGGCGCAAAAAACACCCAAAAAAGGTGCCGCTGGTTGTAGGGTTGCGACCGCGCAGCCGGGTGAAATAGAAAATGCAAAACTCGAAAAAAAACTTCAAAAATGTCTCTCTACCAGGGTTGAAAAACCGCTTCGCGGCTTTTCAACCCTGGCCCCGTCTAGGACCGATCAAAGTTTTCAATTTGCATGCTTCTTCCCCGAAATCTATCAGGAAAAAAGTGAAAAACGCCTCCTATGTCGCTTTATATAGGCTCTCCCACTTCCGGCTTATGCTAATTGATCCCTAACAAAGAGGGTGGGCGAGAATTTTACAAAAATTTGTTTTTAATAGCTAAAATAGCAAGTTTTCAAAGATTTTATGTGCGTGCAGTCGATTCCGGACCCTTCTTTACCTAATGACGTTTCTGCCCAAGCGAAAAAATTCTTCCCTGAGGCTGCAGGTGCGGAACATCCTCACGGAAGTTGCATGCAAATGCACACACACATACAGACACTATTTTTTTTATATATACACGATCTAACTCTCGCTCTTTCACTTTCACCGCCTCTCTCCGCCCTCACCCTCTCTTTCTCTCTCACTTTGTCTCTTTGTTCTCTTTCTCAATCGCTCACTCTCGTTCTCTGACTCTCGATTGCCCACCTCTCTCTCTCTCTCTCTCTCGCTCTCTCTCTCTCTCTCTCTCTCTCTCTCCATCGATGTCACTCCGTTGTATTTCTCGCACTTTCTCTCTCACGCACTATGTTTTCTGACATAATTTTATTATTAGGGGTTTATTATTTTATTATTGCTCATACATTGTCACATTTTTATGCATAGCTTTTTGCAACAATTTTTGACATCACCACGGAATTTCTCTCCCAATTAAAATTTTTCGTTGCGTTCAAATCATCAAATGCGGGGGGTTCATTTGTAGGGCGCCGTTTTTTGGCCCTCTATTCGGCGCAAGCCAGCGCTCGATACCGTACCAGATCTCCGGCTGAACCCCCGACCCGTGATCATCCGCCGATAATTGGGATTAAACCCGGGGAGCGCTCTTTAGGGCGGAGCGCGCTGACCAAAAAATGTTGTAGTTTTTCTGTCTGGCCAAAACGGTATAAATAAAGGACCGACAGTTTAACGACCAATAAACCGTGGCTGGACGCGATGATTTTCGAGTTTTTGGAAAACGATACCTTGTGAAAGTTTCTGCGCTCCTCCATTTAACAATTTCTTCGCCATTTTTAGAAAAATAGTGCCAATATCGCAGGATGGTTGAAAAACCGCTTTGCGGCTTCAATGTCTTCCCATTTTTCCATATTTTCAATTGCTTTTCAATTTTCCATTACTAAGCTTCTCTGGTATGTTGATAAGTTAATCAGAAAAGATATGTCTCTCGCGCTCTTTCTCTCTCTCACTATCTCTCTTTCTCTCTCTCTCGCTGTCAATCTCGCTCTCTCCTTCTCTCCCCCTCTCTATCTTTGAGATCTGAAAACATGCTCATTGATGGCGATAAATTCATCACTATTTCAGGGGATCTCATCAGTTGGGAAATGCGCTCAATTTTCTTCCTTGCCATCCTTTTGGCCTCGACGTGTGCGACGGTCCAGCTGAGCGGCCAGGTGAAGGCGTTCGTCCAGAAGCTGCTCAATAAGGTCACCACGCCGAAATTCTTCACCGTCACCGACAAGTTGATTTGCGATGTGGGTGAAGGTCACTTTTCTATATGTAATTTTTCAAATTGCCTAATATGCCGATTTTCCAGGTTGGCAACGACACCGCCACCTGGGCCGCCCAGAATTGCGCGCTTTCTGAGCTTATTGACAGTAGGTTATTGAAAGAGAGTCTGCTAAAGAGAAAGAGTGAGAGAGAGAACGTGCGAGATAGCTAGTGAGAGATAAAGATTGAGAAAAAGAGAGAGAGTGATGGAGAGGGGAGAGAGACAGAGACAGAGAGAGAATGAGTGAGATAGCAAGAGCAAGAGCCAGAAAATCACTCTTCTGGCTTCAGATATGAGCGCCAAGGGCTCCTCCTATCAAAACACGCTCATCACGACCAAAGCCAGCCTGGCCAACTACCTGTTCACTTTCATCCAATGCTTGAGCGATGTAGGCTTCTAGAAGATCTCAGTCAATTTCTTTCTCCTGAATGCTAATCATCAGTATAACATTTCCATCAGTGCAAAGACAACGGCCTCACCGACTTCATCAAGGGCACTATCGGGTTCGCGCTATCAAACACGCTGACGAAGCCGTACAACACGTGCGTGGTGGGTGATTCGCCCGGTTTCAGAGCTGGGACTACCGCTGCGAAAAAGCCTTGGCTTCAGACTGGGCACGTGCCAAATCCTAACCTGGGCCGAAGCCTAACGCAAAACCTAAGCCTAAATATAATCCTGTTTTTCAGACGCAAAAGGTGCCGGCCATGATCAGCGCGGGCAAGACGATTCTGCAGCGCCAGGAGCAGTGCAGCAAGTGCGGCGTTGCCGCGATGACGGACGACTTGATCACCAAAGTTGTTAAGGTATGGAGATCTCTGTGGCTTTCTCTTTATCTCTCGCTCCCTCCCTCTCCCTCGCCCTCTCCCGCTCTCTCTCGGGCACCCTCCTGTGTGCTACTTTAGGGTCTGCGCTTAGCAATCTAACTTCCAGCAATTTTCTCTTGCAGACGACGATGCAGCGTACCTTCGTGAATACGTGGACTAAATGCGTGCGCCCGCTTATCACCTGCGGCATGCTGAACATCACCCAGTACATCCCGACAGCTGGCCCCGAGAAGACGTGCCTGGCCACGGGACCCTCCAAGCTGTGGACCTAGGCGCGATGGTAGTATCGAATGGCTCCCGAGCGAGGAGTTCAATAAAGTTGTACACAAGCACGTCCAGAATGAAGATGTCAACGCATTAATGGGTGGTATAGAAAAACCAAAATCCCGTGCACTAAATTTCATTAATGCGCATTTAGCTAAGCACTAATGGGGAGCTAGGCAGAATTAAGGTCAGGTGGATTGTCACTAAAGCTTGAAAAAAAAATGGAAAAACACCGCGTAATACGAGAAATGTTTATTTACACGCCGTACGGAGAAGGCTCCATCATTGAAAAAGTGGGAATTCAAATTAGTGTACGGAGTATCACGTCGGAGCAGGAAAGTGAAGAGCAGGTTTGTACTGGCCGGCGGGGTGTTACTGAAAGGAGGTTTATACTAAAGGAAACTGGAAGCTGCGATATCCATAAAAAAGTCTATGAATCTATTTTTGAGCGTTAACCAGGGCGGAAAAGCCGCTTCGCGACTTTACTTTAAAATTCTTCCCCTATCGAGATATCCTCTGGACAGACAGGCGGAAGTGGATGCAAGGCGGCACACACACAGACAGGTGTATTCAATAATATTTAATAGAAAGCAAAGACTCACTGGTTTGTGGGCGTCTTGCAAAGCCTTCTGATGCGCTGCTCGCTCCCCGGTGCCGAAGAGGAAGAAGAACTAAAAAACAAATTTAGTAGACTTTTTATGCAACTTTGTTTAATCTTATGCTATGCTAGTCGATGCCAGATTGATGGTAATTTCCAGTGTTCCACTTTTGCTTATTTCATATTCCCAGAAAAAAACTCACCAGAACCCCGATCAGCACACAGCTTACGATGAAGGCGGCGAACGCGATGAGTGTTTTCATGGCAATGTTCCGCTGAAAATGGACCTTTGTTTTTTGAGCTAGAAAGGAAAGAGAGAGACAGAGGGATAGAGAGAGAAACAGAGGGATGAGAGAGAGACAGAGGGATAGAGAGAGAGAGAAAGAGAGAGAGCGAGTGAGAAAGAGAGGGAGAGTGAGAGAGAGAGAAAGAGAGAGAAAAGAGAGAGAGAGCGCTAGAGATCAGAAGAGGTTTTGAATATTTCCAAAGCATACGGTAGCTATGAAAAACAGCTTACAAGACTCGTCTGGCTGGGTTCTGCGCTGCTTAAAAGTTCCTCAATATCATGGTGCAAATGGTGATCATGATGATGTAGGTCGTGATGTTTATCATGGGTGGTTTCCATATAAACGTCCTTGCTCATTTTTTCGGAATGTAGTCAAATTTGTAGCTTGAACTCAAGTGAATCAAATCCGGAATAGCAGTTGCTAGTTTCTCCTTGTCGAAATTGGCAGTAGAGTCGAATTTAGGTGTAGCTCGCCTCGTGGAAATTTGCGGGTCGGTAGGGAATAACAAGGGGGGCGGGTGCTGGCGGCCCATGGGCCCCTATGACACGTAAACAGGGGCCTTTCCGGAGGTTCTTTTAGCTCTTTCCGGAGTCCTTTTCGCTTCTCTGTCTTTTAGGTCTTTCCGGCAAAACCGGATCCTCCTGTTTTTCTGTTTTCTCCAGGTGGTGGGCCATCAACCTCTAGGCCATAGGTCGTTTGTCAAAGAAGATTGGCGGGAGGGCCGCGTGAGGGCACTAATGGGCAAGAAAACTTAATAAAAGGACAGCCACGGGCTTTTTGAGTGTTTCCTGGGAACAGCAACTTCCAGGCTTTTAGGGTTTTTGGGCTTTTAAACGATTTTAAAGGCCTAAATTTTGAAATTGCTGTTTTTTTTGGAACTGAACGCTGCCAGAACGATGCCTGTGCAAACTGGCAAAGACAGGTGGAAAAACCTCAACTAGCTTTCCTTACATAATGCAAAAAATCCTTTGAAAATCAGCGAATTTCGCTAAATCCCCAAAAATTTCTGCTTATTTCTGCTGTTTTTAAATTTTTCTAAGGTTTTTGAGTTTTTGGAATTTTGCAAATGCAGAGCGGCAAATTCCAACCACAGCTATTTTATTTTTTGAATCTAGAATCTTTTTTGAAGCGCAGTAAGCCCTTTTTTAGCTTTGAAATGGCGTCATTGTTGTAGGTCGGAGAAGTGCGCCATTGCTTCGTCAATGAACCTTACGATCTTTGTTTTGAGTTGCTCTAGCCCCATTGCTTCTTTTACTTAGCGTTAGATGTTGTGATTCTGGTGTCCTTGCTCTCTCTCTCTCTCTCTCTCTCTCTCTCTCTCTCTCTCTCGTCCTCATTAATCTAGCCACGAAAACATTCCACTAAAAATGTCTCTTTCTCCCCCGTTCGGTAGGTCTGTTTCACAATTTGCACTTGCACAATAAAATGGGGCACCAGCAACGCCCTAAAGGCTAGAGAGGGGCTTCTTGTTTATCCCCAGCCCTGGCGGCTATGCCAGAACCATGTGGTTAGCCTTTCTCTAGCTGCCCGGGGGCCCTATTTTGGTCCGAAAAGCCGGCTATTTTGGGGCAGGTATGTTTTGGAAACGGCTTGGGGACGGACGCCCAAAGATGGGCGACAATTCTCAGCCCAGGATTCAGTTGATGAATCGCCTTGGGTGACGCCGAGAATTATGGGGGTGATGCTTGAAATGTTGTCTATTTTCGTACCTGATCCCTGAACATTGCGAAGCAGCCAAAAGTCGAAAAATTCAGAAAATAGGACCAGCAAATTTTTGTTTTTTAATGTTTTTGAATTTGCGGATAAGATTCTGAGTTTTTGACCTCTTCCGTGCTTTGGTAAGTAGATTCCCTAAACCAACCAAACCAAAACGTTTTTAATATTTAAACGGAGACGGAATTTTTTCGAGAATATTGTGTGCCCGTTTAACAAAGGATAAAAATTTGCTAATTCGACGATCCGATCTTTTTCATCTAGAAAACCACCAAGTTAAAAAAAAACTTTTTGGAGAAAATCCGGAAAAATTGACCAGCGATAGGTTTTTCAAAAGCGCAAATGTTTTTGGTAATGGTGTGCTAATTGGTGTTTCCTGCGTTTTTTCTGACATTTTTCTAGCTTTCAAAGACAGTCATTTTAGCCCCTTTTGGAACTAAAAAGCTGCGTAACTTCTTCGAAATGGGCATTTAGCAGTTTTGGAAAACATGTTCAGTGTCTACGTGAGATTCTGGACAAACTGGTCTGGTGGCGACTCAAAACTCACTTTATACTAAAAACTCCTTGTTAGGCTGACGCAAAAATAACTAAGGTTTGCCATAATTTACAAAGGCTGGAATTATGCATCCTCTCAAAGTAGTCTTTCACATGTCAAAACTGCCTTGAATTGGTCTTCTGATGCTGCCAGCTCAGAATCATGTCGTGCTGCGCTCGCTAGTCTGGTAGTCGACCGAGAAAAATCGTACTTTAGACGGCCAATTTTTGTCACCTTGGAGTCGTTGCTCCTTTAGAAAGGTTTTAATTTCGATACGAGTCAATAGCTGCTGCTCCCAAATTTCCCAAATTCTTGAGCCAAAAATAGATGCCTCATAATTCTCCGGCCGTTCCTGCAGCCGGTTCCTCCCATCCCCCAATTTTTGGCCGCGATCCTTGATCATGTCTGCCCCGGAAAAAATGATTACAGCCGGATGTGGATGGGGAGATGGACACCACCAGCTTGGGGGAAAATGTTAGGGTTTGCTGGTCGGGAGCCCCTTGAGGCCCAGGCTCGGCTCGTGATCAACTGTTGGGGGTCGGCTGGCACCTGGTGGTGAGTGACGACATTCGGCCGCAACCAAAGGGTGCTAGGAAAAGCTGGAGGCTCTTTCGATCGGATGGATTTGGCGAAAATATTTTTGAGAAATAAAGACAGGAGTGGACTGGAGGCTCTGCAAAAAATGTCATTTTTGACGAGGCTAAGGAGTTATAGCGGCAGTTATACCCATTTTTAAAAAGTAGATTTTTTGACGCGAGAAGCTTAACCAAGTGGAATAGGAATTTTTAAGTCGTGATTCTTAAGGGGAAGAAGGTACTTGCAAGCTTGCTCGCCCGAAAAACCTACAAATTGCAATGGGCCGGCAGATCTAAGCCTCTTACTAACCGAGTGGTGTCGATAGCTACGCGCCATGTCAAAATACATACAAAAAAAATCGGAATCAAAACCTGATAAAATCAGATCAAAAATCAAAACCAAAATATGCTCAGAATCAACGAATAAAATAAAACAAATCGGCTTTGACTTAGTAGCAGATACCTTCAATTTCAAGAACGGTTTCAAAAGGTTTCTAAGCAGAATTAGTTCGATCTTGGAGCCCTGACGTCCAAAACCAGTTTGGAACTACCATCTAATTACAAACTCTGGATTCAAAGTGATAACCAAGATATCTCAATTCTTAGGAAAAAGGGTTATTTTTCGCTAGCTACAAAATGGAACTATCCTAGAAAACTCGGTAGCCGGAAGCGTAAGGGGACATGGTCGGAAGTTTCAGTCGCGAAGCAGACAGCTCCTTCAAACGCGTGAGCGCCGCACCCCGCGCACCGTAATGCCCCAGCCAAAATGTGGCTTTTGGCAGCAGCCGATCCAGATGTGCATAGTTAAGGTGTGCCCTCGTTGAATCGCACGAGCCCCACATTGCTACGTAAAAACCTGTGGAGGGCCAGCTGGGAAAATGGAGGCCCGGGGCTAAAACCCATTTCGTTTTTGCGTATTCGCCAGGAATGGGGCCAAAGGGCTTTACAAGATGAGCCCGCGGCGAGGGCCCACAACCATTACCAGAATCCCTCAACCAAATTGCGCCTAGTGTTTTGATGGAGTGGGTAGCTTAAGGAAAATAGAAATTTTGGGGAATTTTTAACCGTAGAAAAATTAGAAATTGTAGAAAAGTCCAAAAAAGCAAGTAGGAAAAGCGCTTTGTGTGAAATGAGAAAAAGTGCTCAAATACAAAGGCCAACGACGTGAAAATGCATTTATATCTCAGCCAAATCATTTTTTTGGAAAGTCGGAACATCAGCCGGATATTTTTATCATACATTGGAATTTGTTAGGGGTTTTTTTTTAGTTATTTCTCTTTAATTTCTTAAAAATTTGATGGGTTTTTCGTCTAGTTTTATCTAAACTAATGCCCACTTCTAGAAAACCAAATCGCATAGGAAGAAAGCTTAAACGAACTATTTTTGGAAAAAGCCAGGAATAAATTAGCTCAGGTACGCTTACCCGACCTCCGTTTATACCAATACGAAATGAGCGCCGAGGGTGGGACGAATTGCTAATCGGTGTTTTTTCGGGCGGCAAACGGGAAGTTTTTAGAGCCGAAAAGGAAGAGGCCAAGTGGCCAAACGTCCCTCCAGGCCCAAAAAAGATTTATTGCGTTGTAAGGGCGGAATGGAGAACGGGACCCGGAGGGAAGTTGCGTGCCGATCGTACAATTTTCATAAGAAATAAAAACCATAAAAGAATTAATAAAATTTAGAGACATCGTGAACTCGTCTTCAAATACCAGGTACAGAACAGCGGGCTGGTACAAGCAAAAAGAGCACGCGAAAGAGTTATTAGCACGATTCTCGGCAAGAGCACCATGAGAAATGAGTAAAAAAATGCCATGACCCGGATGAGGAAGTGAAACAAGACCAAGCCGGAAAATTATTCACGATCTATGGCTTCAGACAACCACTTCCGGCTGATATAACACTAATCCCAATTTACCACGTTTCCTGGAGTCTAGGGATTCGCACGCGATCCGAAATCTTTAAAGAACTTCCATGCTGGAGTAAGAACAATAGAATATCACTTGAGTTAAAAAACCTCTCGGGTATCGTGCTGTCCGAGAAAATGAACCCGAAAGTTCCGTCCGAGTTGGCTTCCGGGCCTCCCTAATTCCTTGAGCGTCTAGAAGAGTGGCCAAAGCCCTCAGATGCACCGGATGGGGCTTAACCTAATTTACTAGGTCTTGAAACGCAAAAGCTTTGCCTAAATTGCCTTTGCCTTAAACCTAAATTTCATTTTTTAGCTAATTCAATTAGTGGGATATTTTCTTCTTTATATTTTTTGATTCTTTTCAGCGGTTTTTGCTTGCACAGAAACTACACTCTATTATATTCTTGCATCCTTGTAGAGCGTTAGATTCTGCATTGTCTTGCATGCCTTCTCGCCTTTTCAATTCATTTTTATCCTGCAAAAAGCTTGACGCAATTGGCGGATCAATTTTTCTGGTCTCCCATCCTAGAAGATATCCCAAATTTCAATTTTTTCGAGAGCCGCGTCCTCGTTTCAATTTCCTTGATTTCCTCTATTCAAATTCATGTGTGGTCAGGCGCTTCCGTGTAGCCGAATCCCGGAACCAAGAAAACACCAAAAATATCTCATTTTCAGCGCCCAAAACAATATGCTTCAATTCATTTCCATAAAATGAGATCCTGCCTCATTTTTTATTCAGAAAAATTCTCTTGTCCCGGCCTACGCACGAGCGTCGGGATACCTGATTCGGGGTATTGTTTCGGAATTCGTTGGGAATTTCTGAATGGGGGCGTGACTGCCCGGGATGGAAGCTTATAAATCTCGACCCGAAAGCGCAGAATCCTTGCCCCAGGCTCCCACGGGAATATTCATTATTTCCCGGTTCAACCGCCCCTTTTTGAGGACTACGAGAGGAGAAGCGGCCCAGAATAATCCACATTTCGGACCTAAAAAGAAATGGCCTCGCTTGCCGTCCTCCCGCTGCTTTTATTCCACCGTGAAGAGTTTTTGAGCTTTGTGTCGATTGGTGGGTTTTTAAAGTTTATTGTCGCTGGAGAGGGCCTGCGATTCACTGTGTCATGCCTTAAATAAATTGAATATATAATGTTTATATAAGTTAACGTCTTTCGCAATCCGGCCGGCGGGCTAGCTTGCTAACCCGCGCCCCTCGCCTAGCAGGTTACGGTAGATCGCCTCAGTTCCCAAAGGCCACGATTTGGAAATGACCGTGAATTTTGGCTTTTTTAGATTTTTATTATTTGTTTAGAAGTTTATTTGGTTTTATCTGCTCAATAACTATTTTTTTTTCAGGCCGCGTCGAATACCGTGAGATGAGCCACTCGATGGCGCAGAGCTACCCGAAATGGCGGCGCGGCAAACTGAGGATGACCCATCGTGTCGCGACGAAATATTCGAAAAGCTGGTAGCAGGATGCTTATAGATATAAATTTATGTATTTGGATTAGAAAAATGAATGTATAAATATTTATTATATGTCGCACCGGCGTAAGAACTTGCAAGGGAAAAGCTTGTTGCCATTCTAAATTTGCGGCCGAATGTACTTTGTGCCGCGGCTGTCTTTTTTGGAACTGTACCAACGGAAGTGGAAAATTTCCATTATTTTTCGCGCCGATTAAATTTCCGGCATTTCCCTTTAGGCAATTAAGCACAAAGTATTTTGGGGGCTTGGCTGGTGAAAGCGCACTTTGCTTCGCAAAAAGCGTCCGAAATTACGAAATTTCCCGTTAGTTGGCTTTCTGTAGGGCGTCCGCGCGAAATTGAACACCAAAATATCACGGAAAATCCTCTGTATTATCCCGCTTCAATTTAACTATTTGAGAGAGCAACGGCGCGAGTTTCAGATTGAGCACAAAGTGTACATTACGTGGTAGGCACTTCGCCTCTACACATATTGTATTATCTTTAACGATTTTTGGTCTTTTAACTTTATTTGCGCGTGGCAGGTTTTGGCAATCACTTTTAGCTTCGGACTTTGGAACTATCGAGCTTTTTTGTGCAATTTTCTAAGCAACCACACGCCCGAAAAGTAGCCGGAGCCCGGGGGCGTACCAAAGAAGATTAGCGCGTGCATACTTTATCGAGCCGAACTCACTTGCAGAAACTCCATGAAATGAAAAATTCTGGAGCCAGATGGGTGCTTGGCCAGTTCATTCGTTAAGTCACGTTTGCCCCAAATAGATCCAGAAAATGCGTTTTGTGGCATCCATGCTTGGAATTTATGCACTTTTTGCCTGGAACTGGTTAACCCTGGATCAAAGGGGCCTTCATAATGGTTAGGAAAAGTTAGAAAATTGTTCCATGACGCTGGAAATTGCTGGCTTTGCCCTTTCACAAAGTCGTCCAGCTGCCCAGACCAAAGCTGATCTTATTGGGCTCTGACCCTTTCTCGTAAACGGCCGGTTATTTCCGGTAATTGGGATGTCTCGGTGAAAAAGTCGGGGTATGTTTTCGTTAACAGAAGTGTCGCGACTTTAATTGACAAGGGGATCTCTCAAGCTCGCTGTTTCTTGGGAGTTGACGGTCGGTTGATTGATTAGTTGATCGGAAACGGAGGCCTTTGTGGCGAAACGTAATTGTCTACACCTCATTTTCTGCTTTTCGATTTACATTCCCATTTTCATTGAGAGTTTATCCCGCTTCTAACATCTCCAAATTAGCAGGACGAAAAATGAGGGCCAAAAAATTGTTTTTCTTGATGGCGTCGTACCAAAAATTACTATTATTGTCCTTGCCAACTGCTTCACCTGCCTACGGGGGGTACAGAAACTTCAAATATTTTTTTGCATGGTGTGGGCAGGGTTCAAGTCGGTGCTGGGCAAACATTCGGGTGCAGCCGGTAGAGATCCTACCCCAATCTAATTTTTCTTCGAATTTTGTTCCAGGGCCTGGTTGTTATTCTAGGTTCTTAAAGGTTACCCCGTTTGGCTTCAGGGTTCAGATCGATCTTGATCTTTTTTTGGCATAAACGAGGCACTAATGACATTCTACAAAGGGGCACTACGTCTTTACACAACCATAACCAAATTATGGTAGCCAGGTGTGCACCCAACTATCTTGAGTTTGGTACTGAAAGCACGCGGGTTACGGTAGCCGCTGATCGGGATCATTTACGGGATTGGCAGGCGCTCAATTTTGAGTTTGTTGTTTCCTTAATTTGAGCTTGATCTTGCTCGGAGCCGCAATTCACGACTGCCAGGGGTGATTCTGAGTTGCACTTGTTGCGCCCATTAGTTAGAAGCCATAGTGTAACCTCGCACGGTTGTTTCATATTACCTTCCGGGCAGCCTTCTTGCTCGTTAATGAGCCAGGCGTATTATACTTCATGTTTTTGCCCACTATTTCAGCGCTTTGCTTGACTTTTTCGATTTGGTTTTTATCTTATCACAACCCTTCTATTCAATTGTTATTTTTCGTGATTCTTAAAGTTTTATGCTTTATTTCCTGGAATTTTCCTAGGTTGACCTCAAAATCCTTTATTTAGAATGCGCTTCCAAGTACTACATTTTGTAAATGTCACAGCCGCTGTCGAAGATGGGCTATACGATCTTGTGCAAATCGGCTATGTTCTCGAAGCTATTTTTTATATTCTTTCTGCCTTCTGCATCCCGTTGACGTTACATGTTATTGTCACCTCTGGGGTAACTTTTGATCGGCGGCAAACTTTGTAAACAACGATTATGCGTATAAAAATTGCTTGATGTAAACATTATCTTTTTCGTACAAACACAGGCGCTAAAAATTATCCTTAAAGCATGTAAGCGCCAATTTCAGGTCTTCCACCCAAATATCGTACGCTTCTACAGGCTTAACGTCTATTTCTCATATCCATTTGCGATAGCCCGGATTCCGATAGCGTACTATGAAAATACGCTAACTTATGAATGGGTCTATGAAGGTAGCCAAACTTGATCCTCTATACCTTACAATCTAGATATCACCTCATGCCCAGCCCTGCTTGTAATAACCACTCAAATGCGATCGGCGACATTCGCCCTGATTCCATGTACGTTCATAACAATGTGTTTTGACCTTGGCACACTACCGTACCGGGATATTTTTTTGGTTCCGAGGCGGGCAGATGGTAGTTAGCTTTTTCAAACGAGAAAAATGGCAAATTAATTGCCCGGGACTTCTAGCTCAACTTTGTGAATCATGCATCCCTGCGAGGGGGCGAGAGAAAGAGAATAAGAGCGAGAGAGCGAGAAGGAGAGAGAAAGAGAGAGCCAGCGAGTGAGATATAACAGATCACGAAAAACACGTTTCAGGCACTCTCCTTTCGATCCTTGGCGAACGACTCTTGGCCAATCGCAAAGTCGAAACTTACGAGCATCAATATTATCCAAAATTCATGCAAATTTACTGCGCCTACACTGTTTGTTTGGCTTTCATCCTAGGAGGAGCTTATACAACCGGTAATGCTCGTTTTTTCTAATCAACGATAGTTTTCTAGCTTTCCTAACCCCGATGGACGAAGCGTGTATCGCTGCTCTCGGGACAGCGTTGTCTACTATCGTAAGCTTTTCAAAATCACTTAAAACCTCAGTCTGATTCGCAAAAACAGCGCAAAAGGGCTTGATTTTCTAGGGCACAGTCTACATGCTGATAGAAACCGACCGGAAGAAGCGCGGGTTACTCCCTTCCGATTACACCTTGAGCAAGAGATATCAACTTTATGCAAACGTGAAAGCAGCAAAGGTATGCTTATGTGCATCCCACCAAGATCTTCGACGATGATTACACTTAACGATCTTATAGATTTTTTCGGCTCCCCGACACTTGCGGCGCGGACACTTGCGGCGCGACACTTGCGGCGCGACACTTGCGGCGCGACACTTGCGGCCGACACTTGCGGCGCGGTCATTTGCGGCGGGACACTTGCGGCGCGACACTTGCGCCCGACACTTGCGCCCGACACTTGCGGCGCAGTATTTATTATTTTAAAATGTTGTAAATTTGGCATTTCTTCGCGGATTTTGTTTGAAATTGTTGTATTTGTGTTCAAAATTAGCAATTTAAACGACCCGCAGTCGGAATGCCCCTGAGGGCGTCAGGCAAGGTGGGCCGTCGCTTCGGATGGGCTGCCGCTCCACTCTTTCGAAATCAGGGCGCCTGGGCGCTTCGCGCTCCTCGGGCGCCCCGATTTAGAAACACTGTACGAGCTCGCACCCATCCGAAGCGACTAGGCCCCGGGTGGCACGAAGCCTTTTTCTAGTCGCAGAGCGGAGGAAGTAGCGGCCACTTTCCCTCCAAATTGAGTGACTTCTGTCGCAAACCCGACTTCTTACAATTTTTTTAATACGAAATTCGGACGCAGCTGATAAAATAACACCTTGAACTATTTTTATATAGCTTATACTAAATAACCGCAAGGTCGCGCCGCAAGTGTCGGGCGCAAGTGTCGCGCCGCAAATGTCGCGCCGCAAGTGTCGGGCGCAAGTGTCGCGCCGCAAGTGTCGCGCCGCAAGTGTCGCAGCCGCAAGTGTCGCGCCGCAAGTGTCGCGCCGCAAGTGTCCGCGCCGCAAGTGTCGCGGTACCATTTTTTCAGATCTGTGCAACACTGGCAATCTACGCCGCGGTGATGAACGTGCTTTTCTGCATAATTTTCGTGCTGAATCGATACGCATTTTCGTGGTATTGGAAGAATATTCTGGGCGTTACGATCGGGGTGCACAACGCCTTGTGAGTCCCATTTTCTTCAGTTTGTGGCGCGCGATGTAAACACAAAAATAGGGGCCGTAGTAATCGAGATGTTTCAGTTACACCTGGTCTATGACGTTTATGGGCTATCTGGCGAGCCCGAAAATGATGAGGATTGCGCGGGATATTGCCGTGAAAGAAATCCAGCGACTATTGTAAGTAATTCTGGAAGACTAATAGGTTATTAGATCCCCTGAAAACCTTTGAAAACACAGAAAAAGATTAAGGCGTGGACCGTTGTGAAAAATTTTATGAGTCGAATTTTTGTATAAAACTCTCGCCACTGAGCACGAAGGTTTTTAGGAGGCTAATCTGTCCACGAGCTTACCGTTACTTTGCTAGAAAAGTCGGCGAGGTCGGCGAACGCAAAGCGGCCCAACGTGTTGCTGTTGGCATCAATGGAAAAGTAAGTAGCTTGGCTTCATATTTTAAGGACTAAAAAACATCAAGGTCCACAAATAAATCGAATCCGGCAATTCAAATCTACACAAGAGTTTAGGAGCTCTACCTCGGCGCCAAGCAGGAAGACTACTTTGCTCAACTCGACGCTCAGTGGGCTTTTCAGCCCAGGGCGAAGACTGCATAACGAAGCGCATTTTTGAATAAATATTTCAATAAAAATTCTTGATAGGCAATTTTCGTTTACAATCCAAATTTGCAAAATAAAAATTCCGGGCTAGCGGCTTTTTGGTTAGCTACCTTGACGGCGGCAAATGATACTCAAAAATTTGCATTCGAGATCTCGATTTTTTGAATCTATTATTTGGTTTTTAGAGAAACTTTTGCCACTTGTGACATTTTTGTGTTTAGGCCGTAGATAACCCCCTCATTCTCGATCAAAAGATCAATGTCTTCTCTGCAGACGTCCCGGAATGATCCGGTTAGTGTCCAGCGTGCCGATTCACCTGCTATCGATGCTACGAATGCTACCAAGCTCGGAATTTTTCTAGCAAGCCGTCTCCTCCCGCGCAACCGCCGTCAGGTGGTATTCGTAAAGATCCGGTTACGAGTTGTCTACCTAGCGGCATTCCAAATGACTTCCTAATCCAGCTTGGTTTCAAATTTCAAGCTTCCAGGTATTGGCAACTTGTCACCTTGTCATGTGTCAAACCATGTCATCTTGCTTTTCAGCAAGCCTTCTTTGTTTTCTAAATTCACGTGAATTATACCGCGCTTGATTTTGAAGCTGGCAAGATGCGCCTCCAAGTAATGCGCTTCGTCAACGTCACGGCAGCCATCGAAGATGGTCTCTACAATTTGCTTATCGTTGGCTACGTCCTGGAAGCCTTTTTCTATCTTCTTTCTGCAGTCTGTATCCCTCTCACGCTGCATGTCATTGATGCATCCGGGGTTATTCTTAAAGTCCTCTTCATTGATGATGATTCCTAGGTCTACCACCCGAATATCGTTCGTATCTACAGAATCGACATTTTGTTCTCATACTTCTTCGCATTGGCGCGAATTCCAATAGCGTACTACGAAAATGTGATAGAATTTGCGTGGGTGTATCAAGGTAGAAAATGCTAACCTTTTAAACAGGTATACTTTTAGACATTTACGAATGCCCGATCCTACTTGTAATTTCGACCCAAATCCGTTCGGCGATGTACGCGTTGATACCTTGTAGGTTGATTGCATCGTTTTGATTCCTTTAAACTTTAGGCACGCTCATTTCCGTGCTTGGCGAAAGACTACTCGCGCATCAAAAAGTTGCCACTTATGAGCACCAGTACTATCCGCGGCTAATGTCACTCTATTGTGCTGGTACCTTCTGTACGGCATTTATCGTCGGAGCGGCATATACGCTAGGTAGTGTTTAATGCTGAAGTACAAAAAACGTAAAAAAACGTATAGCTATATAAAAAACTTAAAAAAGCCTTGATCTCTAAAATTCTTCTTTAGCTTTCTTCTCCCCGATGGATGAAGCATGTATAGCGGCCGTCTCCGCAGCTGTATCAACGAGCGTAGGTTTTCGGCTACGATTTTGCTCGAAACCGGCAGATCACGTTTTTATTCTAGGGCAGTGTTTATTTGTTTATAATCACCGACCAGAAGAAGCGCGAGTTACTGCCGGCCGACTACACGTTGAGCAAGAGATACCAATTGTACGAGAACGTGAAGGCAGCAAAGGTGGCGTTCTGTCTTTTCCTCGATTATATCTCTCTCACTCGCGCTCGCTCTCTCACTCGCTCTCTCTCTCTCTCTCTCTTTCCAACGCATTGAAAATTCTTAGGTTTGTGCGGCTCTGGCCAGCTACGCTGCAATCATGGCAGTTATATTTTGCGTGATATTTGTGTTGCATCAAAACGTATTTTCGTGGTACTGGAAGAATATTTTAGGCGTGCTAATGATGGTCCATAATGCTTTGTAAGTTTAAGAAAGTCTTGAACGTTATGCAACAAATACCAAATTTCTTTTCAGCTACATGTGGACAATGACATTTATGGGCTACCTGAGCAGCCCGAGAATGGTGAAAATCGCGCGTGAATTGGCTGGCAAGGAGTTGGGCAGATTATTGTAGGAATTTTTCTGTTTATCGATCGATCTTTGACGCTCATTTCCTGCTAAATACCACTTTTTAGAAAGATCATCAGCCCCAAAACCTATCGCTATTTCGCGAGAAAAGTTGGTGAAGGCGGTGAGGGTAAGTTGACCCCGAAGGTGCCCGTTGGAATAAATGGAAAAGTAAGCTATTTAAATTTCTGGTTATTTACGCTGGATGGTTACATTTACAGAACATTTTTATTCTAAAATGTCATTACGGTGCTTCCAGGTTATCGGGGGGTCGGTTATTTTAGCGGGGGTCGGTTGGCATCTTCTTTTTGTTTAGCCTATACCTGCCTAGTGATAAATTGTAGTTTATTTTAATACTGTTTTTAGTAGCTTCCGATGATCAACAATTATAAAAATATTTATCCTATAGACACGAAATCTAGGGTTATAGCGCGGGTTTAGCCATTTTCATATACGTTAGACCGAAAAAGAAAAAATTTTTCAACATGTTTTATGACGTTTTTCTTAATGTCTCCTCCCCCGCTAAAAGTCCAGAACCATTTCAAACGGCGCACAAGTCTATAAAAACGGCCAGCTTTTAATTAGCCGAGCCGCACGATATTATAGAAAAAAAAGTTCGCAACCGACCCCCGCTAAAATAACCGACCCCCGATAACCTGGAAGCACCGTCATTACTAATTCAAGCAAAATAATTTCAGGAACTCTACCTCGGCGCCAAGCAAGACGACTACTTTGCGCAGCTCGACGCTCAATGGGCGTATCAGCCCCGAGCAAGCTCGATTTAATCATTACGGCAACTAATTAGCATTTCCGGATTATTTTGATAAAATGTCTGATGACAACGCCTCGTTTTTGTTTTTCCCTTCGCACCCCATAATTGACAATGGACTTCTGGGGATGGGAGACGTAGCCAAACACGCTTCTTCACCCCCCCAACGAAATTACTCTGGAATAAAGAAAATTGGATTAGAATTCTTGATTTTAAGCATTTTTGCTTTGTTTTCATCGGAGTGAAGCGGCGTGCTTATAAAATTTTAGGCATTTAAAGCGCACGTTCAGGCACGTTGAACGTATATTGCCTATTGACACCTGCGTCTCCTTCTTTTCCCAGTCTCTCGGCGTCAATAGGCAATATACGTTCAATATAAATATACGTCCCTGAACGTGCGCTTTAATCGTCTGGTACTGGATTTCTTGTAGTTTGAACGTCATCCTCCGCTTATTTTATCGCCAAAACACCTGGCTAAAGGGTCCGGGCCGCATGGTGCGCCGGCTAATAACTATTAGCAAAGAGCTAGAGGATTCACGAAAGTTTCTTATTGTACGATCTAGTTTTATTTAACGCTTTTGTCCCATTTTTATACAGTTGGCTGTTGTTGTTTTCGCTTTTCTCCTGACCTCCGGAACAAGCCACAATCACGCAGAAAAGGTCTAATCTCCGATTCAAGCCACCACCATCCGGCCTTAAAACCTCTGATTGCCCCGCTTTGTGTTAATTCCCACCTGTTGGGGCACCGGAAGGCCTTTCCGAAGAAAAATGTCATCAACCTTTGTCATTGCGCTACTTTACTGGTATACTGTAACTTTACAGCATTACAGATGCAAATCCGAGTGCTCAACTTCATCAATGTCTCAGCTGCCGAGGAGGATGAGCTAATGACTTTAGTTTATCTCGGCTATTTTCTGGAATATTTTTTGAACATACTAACATTACTGATCGTCCCTATGGCATGCCACGTACTACGCGTTGCCTCGGTACGTTGGTAGAAATCTAACCAGCTTTCCAATCCTTTCCAGGTCTTTCAACCAAATATGGAGCGCTTCTACTACAGTTTTGCCTATTTTTTGATACCATTCCTGTTCTCACGAATACCACTTACCTATTTTGAATTAAACTATCCCTATGAGAAAATTTATACAGGTAGTCTTATCCTAAATGGGTATAAACTTCAAGATTGTCTAGAAGAAGACATCTGCCCCAGCTACGTTTTAATAGCTACCTTTATTCAAGCCACAATGTTTGCGCTGATACCTTGTAAGTGCCGACTACAAAAGCTAGCCAAAAAATTTAGATAATCTTTAACTAATTTCAGGTTGTCTAATAGGATGCCTGGTCGAGCGAATCGTAGCTACGGTTAAAGTTGCAACTTACGAAATTTACTACTACCCGCGGTTTTTCGACGCTTACATCATAGTCAACTATTTTTGCGCTGTCGGCGTGGGAGGGTTATATACTTTCGGTAAGGCGATTCCAGTTTAGCGCGCGTATTTCTATATTTTTAGGATATTTCACGCCGTTACACGAGGCCATCCTTGCGCTTGCCGGTACTGCCGCAGCAACTCTAGTTAGTATCATTCCCTGGCAATCAATATCGCTTTAGGGCACCGTAATCATCATTATACTTTCGGAACGCTCGAAACATAACTCGTCTCCTCGTTATACGCTTAGTAAGCGATATCAACAACTTGAGAACCACAAAGCTATGAAGGTATGTTCGGAATGGATTTAAGAACTACCATTTTAACTAAAAAAAACAGCTTAGAGAACTAAGTGTTTTCTAACTCATAAAAACGCAAGAAGATCAAGCGCCTTGGCGTACAGGGTAGCGTTGCGGCGCGCAGGCCGGGTCCAGGCACTGCGGCTTTTCCACAAAGCCCTCCCTTTTCTTTTCTGGGAGATTTTCCATCGCTATATACTTATTTTAGTGCACAGTCGTCTATGTGAGCTTTGCCGGAATGATGAATATCATCTTTTCCGTACTATACCTCCTTAACCAGTATGCCGACTCACGCTATTGGGCCAACGTTGCTGGGATTGCTATTAATGTCCATATTGCTATGTCAGTTGCTTTCCGATACATCTATAAACGAAGAACTACTCGCAGAGAAGGATGTTATTATGTTTTTACAAGGCTCTGAAATTTAGCGATTTGCAAAAAAGCTTTTTCTAAAAGTGTACTCCCAATTTTTTGAAAGTGTAGGTCGGAAATTGAGTGCTGTTAGCAAGGGTATTTAGCCAAATAGTGTTTTCGCCTAATTATTCAATCTCAAATTTAGTTACGCAAACATCATGCAATACGTCGGGTACATCTCAAATCGCCAAATGTACGAGTTGACGAGTGGCATCGCGATGAAAAAATTGCGTGAAATTAGGTATGTACACTGGTCCGCATAATTATGGAGCCACCCACAGTTTTGCGAAAATCTCAATTTCTGGCGGCTTTCGTGAAACACTTTCTATTAGTGAAAGCAGCCGTATACCATCACAACTTTACACAACAAGTTCGTTTTTTGATTCGAGGACAAAAAAAATTTTAACGAAAACTTTCGCCTAAAACGCTCTTTGAAAAAACCGCCTAATTATGGAGCCACTCGAGTGGCTCCATAATTAATTAATCGCACAACGAGAGCCACACAACTCGCCATAATCGGCGCGTGGCATCAAGTCGACCAGAAGCTGCTTGCTAGCCTCTATCTGAGGAACGACAGCCGTCGGTTCCAGTTGGTACAAGAAAATGCAGCCGCCACCGATAGTTGAAATTATTTTCAGAAATTTGTTATCGATTTTCCACATTTTATAAAAAATTTTCCGGAGTGGCTCCATAATTATGCGGTTTTTTCAAAGAGCGTTTTAGGAGAAAGTTTTCGTTAAAATTTTTTGTGTCCTCGAATCAAAAAACGGACTTGTTGTGTAAAGTTGTGATGGTATACGGCTTCTTTCACTAATAGAAAGTGTTTCATAAAAGCCGCGAGAAAT